TTCTTTGCTGATGACATACTACAGGTTTCCTTCAGAAGCAAGAACCCAGAAAGACCAAAAATTGTGTCTTGAAAAACGAGAGACTGAAAGCTTAACTGTCTCATCTCCTCATTCATGTCATGAAATGTTTATTTACCATCTCCAGAATATATTCCTTTAGCATTTCGCTTCCCTTTGGAATTGTGTTTAATGTTCACTTACCATATTTTTCAGAGTATAAGACATATCGGAGTATAAGATGCACCAAGATTTTGAAGAGGCAATTTTTTAAAAAAAAAAGGTTTTGCACTCTGCAGACCTCCCAAAATGGCCATTTTTTTGTGAAAATGGGCCCGTTTTCCCCCCTCTCCCCAAAAGGGCATGAATAGCCTTATAGAGTGCTGGGGTGGGGTGGACAAAAATGAGCAAAAAATGGCCCATTTTTTGCTCATTTCTGCCCTCCCCAGCCCCCAGAAGCACTCTATAAGTCTCATAAAGGCTCTGCATGGCCATTTTGTTAAAAAGGGGGAGGGAGTTGGGAGGCCAAAAATGCTGTATTTAGTGTATAAGACGCACCCAGATTTTCAGCCTCTTTTTTGAGAGAAAAAGGTGTGTCTTACACTCTGAAAAATATGGTAATTGTCCTTCTCTCCAACTTCAGGATAGAATACTGTACTGTAGGATCTATTGGTGCTAGTCCGCACAAATTGAATGAGATATTTCTTAATTTGCTTTGCTTTTTTTTTTTTTGCAGGTGGAATCTCTGCCGGTCAGGTATGTGTCTGGAAAACAAACAAACAAACAAACAAAAACGCACTGAAGGTTTGGAGGAAGCCAGTGAACAGACCAAGGATGTACGGGTAGATTTGTATCTTCTGAGTGCTGGACACAGTTGCATAGATGTGCAAGGAGGAGCTTTTAGCAAATGGTTGAGCTACTTGAGTGAGCTCCACTTGTAGTTCCTCGGCACTGATTAGCAATCTAAATGGTCCAAAGACTAGCCTGCCAGATTTGCAGGATGTCAGATCCCATATGATCTCAGTTAATCTGTTATTGCTTTTGCTTTGCCAGTCCTGGAGAGCTTTCCAGGTTCACCCAGGTGGGCAGGAAACAGACACACAAATCTCTCACTCATCAAGGCCCTGTTGGATCCCAATGTGCATCTTGTGGTTCTGTTTTATTGTGATGCTGCCAAATTGCTGTAATGATTACACTGGAGATATGGAATCCGCTTTCTTCCTGTTAACTGTGACAGGGAAAGATTGCTTGTGCAATTCACTGTACCAGGGGGGCATTTTTACGTGTTAGGAAAGGGCTGGAGGTTTCTGTGGAAACAAGAGTTTAAAATTAATTTGTTAACAGCATTTGGCTTATAATTTTGTTAGGTCCATTTGTACACTGTTAATATGCATGTTTCTGTTTTTCTGCAAACTAGTTTCTTGCATGATGCTTAGGACTTTCTCCTGGCCTTCCAGTCTGTGGGTCGATAAACCCCTTTGACTAAGAAAAGGAAGCAGAATGCTCAGGCCAGAAACTTCCCCTCTGATTTAAGTTGAAAGGACATTGTAGGAATTTGGTGGCTTCCAAGGATGCTACATTTTTTTAAAAATCTGCAATCACGGGCATCTATGAGTTGCATGGTTCCCTAGTAGTACAGGTATTTCTCAACTTACAACCACAGTTGAGCTCCAAATTTATGTTGCTAAGTGAGACAGTTGTTAAGTGAATTTTATCCTGTTTTATAATCTTTCTGTTGTGGCCTGCCAACAGAGCTGGCAGCAGATTTGGATAGAGAGGAGGTTGGGGAGGAACATGGGCTACTCCTGGAGTCTGGGGAAGGCTCTGATGAGGGCTCTGTGTCAGAGGCAGAGATAGGGCCAGAGCCGTATGCCAGTTATCATCTGCCTTCAGAGTCAGACATCAGTGAGGCAGACAAACAGCTGGAGCCTGTTCTCAGTGTGCGCATCCACAGAGTTTCCAGACAAAGAGAACAGCTAAAGAACAGGGGTGGACTTGGGAGTAAGGCCACAGATGGATGAGGAAATAAAAAAGGAGCGAAAGGGGAGTGGAGTTTGCAGGAGACAATTAGTTTGCTTAATTGGCCCGTGACTCTCCGAGACTCCTTGCCAATTTTTGCAGATGATGATATCTGCAAAAGCCGGATAAGGTCTGTGACTGTACATCCTTCCTTGAAAGACTTTGTTGGATGTGAATGAGCAGAATTCACAGTAACTTAATAAAAGGGTTTTTTGTCAGGACAAAGAGTTTGCTTCATGCTCTGGTGAAGCCTAGGTCAGAGCACTTTCTTGACACAGTTACGGAGTGAATCCCTGCAGTTGTTAAGTTAGTATCTCTGTTGTTAAGTGAATCTGGCTTCTCCATTGATTTTGCTTGTCAGAAGGTTGTGAAAGGTGATCCCATGAACCCCCGGGAAACTGCATCCACCATAAATATGAGTCAGTTGCTAAGTATCTGAATTTTGATCATGTGATCATCAGGATGCCTGCAATGGTCGTAAGTTGAAAAATGGTCATGAGTTACTTTTTTCAGTGCTATTGTAACTACAAACAGTCACTAAACAAACTGTTGTAAGTTGAGGACTACCTGTACTGGAATCAGAAGCAAGAGCCAGGGCCTCTTTCCTTAGCTAGTTGCTTTCGGAGAACAATAAAGGGTTGCATTATTTCCTGATCTTGGAGAAGAAGTGGTAAGGATGGTGGATTTAATTAAAAACACCTCTACATCCTGCTTTCTCTCCCCCCACCCCCAGCCCCAGTAATTTGAGCTTACTCCCATCTGTTATGTGGACTCAGCAAACAGATATGGCTGAGCCACTTTATAACAGTTTTACTGCCATCTCTTTATAAAATTGGGAACACAATAATTTGCTCCATAAAAGTGCTGAGCACTTTGTTCTCCATAAAAGTACTGCGTAGCATCCAGGTGAATTGACTGGAAAGCTTTGAGGCTGGAGACAATTTACTTGATAATGGAGGAATGTTGTGATGGCTGTATTCTTGTCTTGTTTAACTAAGTTTCTTTCTGTTCCAGACCAGCAGTGCAATCTGAAACGTTGACTTTGGCTCTAAAACAGTACAAGGAGCTGTGTGACGGGCCCTTGCAGTACATAATTTGGCGAAAGATGCTGAAATGCATCAGCCCAGGTGCATTTCCCTGTTTGAAGGCGGCTTGGGATAAAGAGATACAGCAGAGCTCTCTGGTTGCTAAGGCCTCACTTAACTCTATGCGTTGTTTTCCCCATAGCTCCTAATGCTCTGACCCTGGATCCAGACTCGGCCCACCCCAGCCTCCTCCTCTCCAAAGATCTGACTTCAGTGACAGAGAGGGAGTCACCACAGGCAGTACCCAGAAGCCCCAGGCGTTTCCTGCAGAGCGTGAACGTGTTGGCCACGGCGTCCTTTGAAAGCGGGCGGCATTACTGGGAAGTCTGGGTGGGGAACAAGACCAAGTGGGAATTAGGAGTGGCTTCGGACAATGTGGACCGGGCAGCAAGAGTCCGTCTGTGCCCAGATAATGGCTATTGGACGATAAGATTGTGGAACGACTCCGAGTATTGGGCTGCAGCAACTCCCTGGGTACGTTTGAGGCCCCAGTGCTGGCTGAGGAAAGTGGGGGTGTTGTTGGACTGCAAGGCCAAAAAGCTGACCTTTTATAACGCCGAGGAGATGTCAGTCCTCTTTATCTTCCACCAGTTGTGGGCTAGCAAATTCTATCCTTTTTTCAGTACCGGCTTCAGTCATGGCGAGAAGAATGCAGAGCCCATGAGGATCTGCCACCCTCTCAGGCTCTGAAGTCTTCTCATTTCACAGGACACAGTGGTTCTTTCGTTTCTTTCTGCCTTAGCGCTATTACAATACTGTTTCTCTTGTCCTCCTAACTGCCACTGGTAAATGTCCGTTGAGATTTCAAACCATTTATATTTGTGGTATAGATCCAGCCAACCGTAATGAAAAATGAAGGGTTGTTGACCATTTTTATTTAGAGTGGTCCCTTACTGTCTTTTCTAAGGTGGACTTTCTTTATTTTTAATCTAACAAGATCGTTACTATTCATTTAAGATTCAACTCGGCAAATAATCAAAAAATATTGACTATAATTCTAATATATCATAATAAAATGGTAGCTATAACTTTCTACTTCCTATTACCACTTTACAAGTGTAAACATGTTTTGTACACACACAAACACACACATATAGGTTTGTATACATAGACACACACACACATATAATGGAAGCAGTTAGCTTCCTCCCGTAACAGGGGCATACCACTAAATATATACCTTCCTCCCTGGCTTCTGCTGATAAGGAGGAGGACCTGTGGCTTAATGGTTAAGACCTCTGCCTAAGATGCAATACAGCACAGGTTCGAATCCCAGTAAGGGTATGGCTAGCTGATGAGAGCTAAATAGCTTGAAATAGATCTATACTAGTCTCCCTTTATTTATTTATCAGCACAAATACAACACAAATGTACATATATATATATATACATACATACATACATACATACATACATACATACATACATAGTCCTTTTACTGTCTTGGAAAGTTAGTAAGTACCTTTGAGTTTGCTAAATGCCCTTGCATTTCATGTCACCTTACCTGACTCACAGTGATAGCCAAAGAATCCCTCTGGACAGACACACAGGTAAGAACCACTGTGACTTTCACATCTTCCTCGATTCCGACATGGATTTGATTTACAGGCATCCACTTCTGGGGAGCATAAATACACTCACTCAGATATCTGTAGGAGGTGTCACATGGAATTAAGAAGATGACTCTGCTTCTGGTGGATAGCCCTTTACAAAGATGCCTGCTGTAATGTAACTTACACTCAGTACCCCATAATGACAAAGTGAAACTGAATTTTAGAAATGTCTGTAAATTTATTGAAAAGAAAAAAAAACCCCTGAAATATCACGTTGGTATAATTATTCAGACCCTTCACTCAGTACTTTGTTGAAGCATCTTTGGCAGCATTAACAGCTTGGAGCAGAGGTGGGATTCAGCCAGTTCGCACCACTTTGGG